TACCTCGTCTGCCCAACTTGCACTACTCACCAAGTGAGTAGTTTCTCTACTTTAATAAAAGGAATGTGAAGCATTCTCATCAGTTAAACTTGTTCAGGGTTCTTAACAGTCCATTGAGAGACCAGCTTTCTAGTCACTCTCGGTCAGGAGTAAATCTTCCAACTGCGATATGAAAGGCGTTGCCACGGTCACAAAAAACTATTCTTATGCAAACAATCAAGGCTGAATGTTATTCAATGGAAACGTGACGTCTATTTATAACATTGCGACATAATTCGATTATCAGCCCTTCTTTATCGTATGCGACTTGTGGCAACTAGAATTCGTATTCACTATCTACAGATAATCTCGAAAATCTGCTTTTTTGGAATGCACTAAACCACCAGTTTACACTGCTGTATCTCAACAGTCGCCTGAAGACTTCGCAGACAAACAGTTGCCACTAGTCGTGTTAATTGTTTGATATTGTTACGGTAGCGTCTCCAAGTGCAAGTCAGCTGGTCTCAAAACAAATCGCCTTAGCGACCAAGCCCTGGTGATGACCATTCCTTCTGTCCTAGACTTAGTTAAGAGTCGTCAGTGGTCGATATGGCCCCAGTTGCTGTGCGTTGGTGTGTCAGTTGGTATCAGATCGAGCACAGGTTCACATTGAGCCAGAATACATGGCTTCATTCTGCACGTGCACGTTCAGGAGATACGTATTTGACGCTTAAACCTGGAGGCTTTTGCGTGACTCAGGCCTACTCCGGCCAAATCGAGCAACATGCATGTCTCCTCTTCTCTGAAGTTAGCTTAGGCCTGAGCTCAACACTGTGCCTCCTAGTTACAGCTCAGTCTCATAATATGCGACGAATCTCAGCTCAACTGGACGCCAGCCAAAAAGTTGCACATACTTTCGGGTAGTATTTGCAGAGAACGCTGTGAAAGACAAATACACAAGAATATGCTCGTGGCTCTGGTTCGCTTCTGGATCAGTGCACAATAGCTGAACTATCAATTATTGTGATCCATTGGTTGGGGTGGTTCATTTTTTACTCGTTTTTACTGATTAGCTGATAGTCACTTTGGCCATGATGCGTTGAAATGGAGGCCTTATTTGAGGTCAATTTCAATTGGCTGTGCATCTGAAAATGCCATTCTTCTCTCTCTTTGCCTCAACTTCTCAGAAGCGGCGGGATTCGAGCTTTTGGCATGACTTTCATGGCAAATCGGGCCCCATTCGACTGGAATAGTTTTTTATTCGTTAGTTAGCTCGTCACACTACTGACTACTTTTGTTAGTAAACCATTTGACTGATCGTTGTAGGGGAGCACCAGTTTCGACTGGCTTTTCTAATTTGCCCACAGACAATCCTTTTGTATTCATTTTTGCTTCATATGGTATCCTAAAAAGACCGATCTCCCTCATTATGGAAGGCAATTCGTCTAATTAACAAGCACTCAATCCTTTATGTCATGCGGTGACTGTAACTTTCCAGCACTATTTAGTCGGTAATTATATCCCATTTTAAACTTGCTATTGAACTTAATTCATTACCGGCTTTTGCGTTGGTGACCTCTCTTATCAGCAATCTTATTGTTGCATAGGCGTACCACTCACGGCTGATTTTATCAAAGTTTCCCACAGTATCTGTGCCCAAGAAGATAAAGCTTGATTTTTGTGATGTTTCGATGCCTACCGTTTGGGTTATGAGTGAAAATTTATGTTCATATATCTCGAGTGCACGGTTTTGGGACCCCGATTAATTCAATTTGACAGATATTGTAAAAGCATGAAACCGTTTTGTAAGAAGTGTCACCAAGGCGTTTGCAATCCCTTCAAATTCTACTCATAACTTAGCCAGTTAAAACTTACCGACAGTTTCACAGCAGTTTCACACT